ATACTAAAAGCTACTTTGATTCAATGTGGCAGAAAAATAATTAAGAGCAGTTAAAAACAGGGGTGCCTGGGTGGCTCAGTCATTAAGCATCTGCCTTTGGCTCAGGTCATGGTCCCAGGGTCCTGGGATCAAGCCCCACATCGGGCTCCCTGCTCTGCAGGAAGCCTGCTTCTCCCTCTCCCACTCCCCCTTCTTGTGTTCTCTCTCTAGCTGTGTCTCTGTCAAATAAATAAAATCTTAAGAAAAAAAAAAAGAGTAGTTAAAAACAGTGAGTAGCACTCTAGAAGAGTGGTTAAGAACAGCACAGAACCTGGATCCAGATAGCATTGGTTTGAATTCCATCTCTACCATTTACCTAACAATGTGGTTTTGAGCATATTTATATATTGTCTCTGTGTCTGTGTTACAGCTAAGAGGGATCTAAGTAAAATGCTTAGAAACACAACTGGGAAATAATGGTCTAAGTTTTAGCTATCATTTTTCTATTGCAAAGGCAAAATTTCAGCTGGAAACATGATGATATTAGTAAGACAAATAGAAGTTATCATGTACCTGTGACACAATAAATTTTATAACAGCAAAATAGATAATTATTTCTAAATCCTTATGTTTACATCACAGAAAAGCAATTTTCAATAATATTACCTAGTCTTATCTTGGCTTCACCAAATACAATGTATCTTGGGCAAGTTAATATATTTGTGCCTCAGTTTCCTCATCTCTAATGGGGATAATTATAGTACCTACCAGAAAATGTTCAGAGAATTAAATAAGTTAACTAAAGTGAAGCACTTTAAAAAGTTAATAGCAGGGGTGCCTGGATGGCCCAGTTGGTTAAGCACCTGACTCTTGGTTCCAGCTCAGGTCATGATCTCGGGGTCATAAGATCGAGCCCCACATTGGGCTCTGTGCTGGGCATGGAGCCTGCTTAAGATTCTCTCTCTCCCTTTCCCCATCCCCACGCCCCCGCACCCCCAAAGTGCATGCTCTCTCTCTCAAAGAAAACGTTAATAGCAAATAGTAAGTACTCAAAAATTAAGTGTTATTTATTACTCACTTAACACATTCTAAGAAGCAGAATATAAGTGTGTGTGTGTATAACCATGAGGGTCACAAATGCAAAGAAATACAGCATTAACTTCAGGCCCAATAGTACAGACAAGCTCAGGGAAGTATACTGATAAAAGTAAAAAATATTCAACAATCTAAATTTCTGACTCACTTTCTCATCTATATAAAAAGGGATTTCTATGAGATAACAAAAATTCCCTTCAGTTTCAGATTTTAGGGAACTGTGGCATGCTACAGAGTTAATATTCACAACAAAGTATACCCTTTTAGAATATTGTAACTAATTTTTGGTATTAGCCAAGATGAAAGTATTTCCTTCTTGGCAATTGCCCCAGGCAAAGTTCATTTAAGTAGCCTGGTGAGCATTCTCACAAATTTAATTCAATCTCAAAGGACTGATATATAATCCTGTATCTATCCTAGAGTAGTTTCAAAAGAAATTATTTAAGAGTGAATTTTTCTATAGTCTCTTGGTAGCTCAAAGTACGTATTCCAAATAACCAAAAAAAAAGGTAGATGTTTTTTACTTCAAAAGGCAACAAATTATATCTTTAACATAACCTTAATCTTAAACATAATCAAACTCCTCTATCAGAGCAACATATGAGAAAAATACATAAATTGTTAAATAAGTGATGACCAATGGGAAACTGACTGGCTTGGTTGGTACAATGTCAATTTTTTAGCCATCTAAATTCAATTGCTTACTTGGGTTTTTCCTTTCATTAAAAGAAAATAATAAACTGAAGCTTCTGGCTTGGACAAAATAACTTCAAACATCCTACAGAGAACAGATACTAGATAAACCACAGAGAGAAAAAAAGCTTTTGTTTGAAGGTATCTAAGGACAATCAAAGCAGCCGACACTTGAGTGACAAAAATTCCAGAAAGAAAGGAAATGCATGAAGGTTACTGGGTACAAGGTTAGAATGCAAAAGTCAAGTGTATTTTTATACATGGAATATACCACATTCATGGATGGCCTAATATTTGTAAAGAAGTTAACGGTATTCACATTGATCTATAGGTTCAATGCAATGCCAATCAAAATTCCAACTTTTTTTGGTAGAAATTTAAAAATTGATCTTAAACCTATACAGAACTATAAAGAAAACCAATGCAATCTTGAGAAAGAAAACAAAATTAGAAGACTTATGCTATCAGAAATTAAGATCCATTCTAAAACTATAGTAATTAAGACAGTCCGAGACTAAATAGACAAAATTGAATAGAGTCTATACAAGAGCCACACAAATAGTTTCACTCAAAATTAATGAAAAAGATGATGCTGCAGTAAAGTGGGCACACTGGTCTTTTCAATAAATGGTGGTAGATACCCATATGGGCAAAAATGCACCTTGATCCCTGTCTTCATACAATTCACAAAAAAATCAATTCCAAACAGATTACAGACCTAAATATTGAAGGTAAAACAATAAAGCTTCTGGAGGACAGCTTCATAGGAAGCGTATTTTCATAATTATGGGGTATAAACAAAAATTTCTTAAGCAGAACATGACATGGAAAGGAAAATACTGTTATATTAGATTTAATTAAAACAAAGAATTTCTGTTTATCAAAAGACAGCATTAAGAAAGAAATTAAAAAACAGGCTCACATAGTGGGAGACAATATTTGCATAACTTTTATCTGAAGGAAGACTCAAACCAAAATATATAAAAGAGTTATAAATGGTACAAAATAAACAGACAACCCAATTTAAGGAAAAGTCATCAAAAGATTTAAATAGTCACTTCACAAAAGAGGATACCTAAATGGCAATAAACTTATGAAAAGAGGTTCAATTCATTAACTACCAGGGAAATATAAAATAAAACCATCATATCGATCATAAAAAAATAAAAATGAAAAAAAAATCCTAACAAAAAATCTGAGTAAGGAAGTACAGCAACTGAAATTGTCATACAATGCAACGACTAGTGCACCTATTTTGGGATACCATTTGGCAATATCTACTGAAGTTGAACATGTGCATACCCAGTGACCAAAAATTTCTATCCCATTTTATACCCACATAAATTCACATACATGTATATAAAAACATGCACAAAATATTCAAAATGGCTTTATTTGTAATACACAAAAACTGGAAACAACCCAAATGTCCATCAATAATACAATGGACAAATCGTGATGTATTTATCAAATGGATATTAAAGATAATATACAGTATTAAAATTGAATATACTGTGGGGCGCCTGGATGGCTCAGTTGGTTAAGAAATCCAACTCTTGATTTTGGTTCAGGTCATGATCTCAGGGTCATGAGAATGAGCTTCACATTGGGCTCCGCACTCAGTACAGAGTCTGCTTGAGAGTCTCTCTCTCCCCTCCCCCTGCCCCCCCCCCCCGCTCATTCAAATCATTGCCAAATCTTACAAAAGTAACCTTATTTTCCCTTCTATCATCATGGTTAGTGTTTTTTCTTTTGAAATGATACAAGAAGGAAATCTTAAGTATGTGACCCTGAGACCATGACCTGAACCAAAATCAAGAGTTGGATGCTTTTTAAAGTGACTTTACAAATTGCCCTACTGGGCAAAGAAGGAAATAGGTAAAATACAAAAATCAGTACTTTAATTCTTTAGAATGAGTGGTAGATCCTTTTATGGATCTCAAAACCATTCACTAGGAAGATGTACTTAGGGATAAAATACCCATCTGCATATGCCATCCCCTAAGTAAATGTTTGTGTATCAGCTTCATCTTTGAGGAGATTATAGAGATGATTTAAACATAGACCTAAAGTTCATAATTTGGTAGAAATTCAGTTGTAAGTATCTTGAATACACCTGGCATTTTATTTAAGTTTATTTAACTATTTAATATTATTTACATTTACTTAATAAACTTGAATTCTCCCTACATAAAATGTGACCTATCATCAGCTTTCTAATTTCCTAAACAGTAACATCTCTTCCTTTCTGTAGTATTTCCACAAATATTCTACTGTCTCATAGGTTAGTATGTGAATATAATAAACACATTGGGTAATTTTCTCATATAGGGTCTAATATAGGACTCTTGTTTGAATCCTGACTCATGAAACATATGCTTAAAAAAAATGCCTGTATGTGATCAGGAAAATCTGAATCTATCTGGATATATGATAATATTGAATTATTGTTAATTTTTTAGATATAATAGTGGCATTATGATTGTATTTTTAAACAGAGTCCTTATCATTTAGATACATAATGAAATGGTTACAGATGAAACTACATGACTACTATTTCCTCCAAAATAATCCCTGGGAGAGGGTGAGAGAGGACAGTGAGGCACAGCTGAAGTGAGAGTGACCTCGAGTTGATCAATGTGGTAGCTGAGCTATGGATATGGGGAGGCAGGGGTCAGGGGAAGGGTACTTAAGTTGTTCTCAAAACTTTAGGGTACATTCAAAATTTTCCAAAAGGGAAACAAAAAAAGAGAGAAAGAACTACAGGTAAATGATTAATTTTGGAAGTCTTCTCAACTAAGAAAGATGCTAGTGTATTCTCTGGACACAAGACATTAATTTGCAAAATTCATGACACGTTCATCTGCATTGCCCGTCACATTACTAAAATCACAAGGATGCAGCCATCAGAGAAAGAAACTTTTGATGCTGGTAGAAAAACAGGACATCACTGAAAACTGAAGATCACAACTTAGTAGGTGCATATTTACAACTACATAAAAGTAAAGTCTCTTTAATGCTGTAGGAATGGGGGGAAAGGGACAACTTCAGAAATGCAACTATAGTACTAGATAATTTTCCTCTTTAAGAACTACACTCTTACATACAAACTACATATTCTAGGAAATATTGGGATGTGGGACAAAGAAACTAAGGCTGTTGTGTTTTAGCCTCATTTAATAATGAAGGCTCAACTTCAAATACAGTATCATAATTAAATATTTTCAAATTACCTTAACATTATACTCAGGATGAGAATTCATATAATCAAAAAGCAGCTGATAATTCTTATACTGATGATCCCATTCTATGCGTTCACAGTAGCGAAAATCATCTCCTAGTGGGGCCAGGACAACTGTAGTATGGAAGAGCTTTGACTTCTTTCGGTACTGATCTAGAAGCATCTCAGCCCTACAAAAGAAAAAGGAAAATAAGAACAGTACTAAGAAAAGGACAATGGGGCAACTCATTAAAAAGTGTATTATGTTAAAAGAAATTGTTGTATATTTTACCTGTATTCTAGGTTAGTATGATTTATAAGGCAGATTTTTTAAAACTACTATACTAATTTTCATTATCCACTTAAAATATTCATAAATTTTGGGGTGCCTGGGTGGCGCAGTTGGTTGAGCATCCAGGCTTTTGGTTTTGGCTCAGTCATGGTCTCTAAGTCATGAAATCAAGCCCCGCATTAGGTCCTGTGCTCAGCGCAGAGTCTGCTTGGGATTCTTTCTCACTCTCCTTCTGCCCCTCCCCTCTGCTCTTTCTCTCTAAAATGGATAAATAAATCTTCTAAAAAATATATTCATAAATTCTTACCAGAGAGAAAAACCCACAGGTTTCCAATGGATTATCCTTAGAGAAATAAAGTCACATACCAACTTTGACATAAAATTACTGGGAACATCAATGGCCTCCTGAAGCCCGGCCATAGACACTGGATCCCAGATTGCCTGTATTTTAAGATAATTTAGTCCAAGAAGACAATAAGGATTTCTTATCTATATAAACTTTGAAGTTGGCTTTGACTCAAGATGCCTTTCTCTAATTTGATCTAAACTTGCCTGATTACACATAAAAAAATTAATAGTTTGAATGAAACCAATTATAGAACCTGATTTCCTCTTCAAACGGAAGAAAAACAACTCACTTAACACCTGCCATCAATAAACTGGATATCTGTCAATGTCCTTCTCAGGGCTGATCAACAGATAAAGTTTTGGAGATCAAATAGCTTTTTTGATTTCTACCTTCCTCAGATCTAACCCATGAGTCCAAAGGTCAGCTAAATACTAAATGTGCTGATGTGTTTTTATATTTCATATTATTCTAGTATTCTGCAGAAAACCTTTGGGGTTGAACTGCTGAATGCTGAACCGGGGTACCATTTGAGGAAGTCTAGGAATACAAAGTATTTAAGAGGAATGGCTTATAAAAATGAAATTAAATAAGCGGATGAAGAACTCAGAGTAGTTCTCTATGTTTGTAATGCCAAGCTTAAGAAATCAGTGATAAATGACTAATGTGCTTTTTACCCAGTATTCCAATTTTCATTTCTAGGGTTATCGAGAAGTTCCAATTCACAATATAAAAACTTACGAAAGAAACTCAAAGACCATCAATAATGGAACGAAGTATTTTATAAAATTAAAAACATTTAACTAAATTTAGAAATTCACATGATCTTTTTATACTGATAGTCTCTGAAACTGCTTTGCAAATATTAAATTATTAGCAAAATTCAATAACTTGGTGAGTAAAATATAACCATAATGTTCTTACATAACATAGTTTTCTGAGATTAGCATTCAGTAGAGTACTTAATTTTTACTAATAATTTACTAATATTCCACACTTAACCAAAAATAACCTTGGATTATTAGTTATAATTAAAAAAATACATGTCTAATGAGACTAATCAAATAGAAAGAAAAATAAGAGAAAAAAACCAAACATATAAATCAGATATGAGAAAGATACACTATGACTGAGCATCCAATCAGATTCCCCTAGGCAACCAGCATAGAAAAGGATAAGTGATCATTTAAATGAATGCCAAGGTTTACTACTAGATATACCATATCTTGTGTGTATATGCATATGACACATAAGAGGAAAGAATCACAAACATTAAGTGTGAGTCTTCCATTCAGCATCTGTCCTAACTCCCAAGCTCCTGCTCAGAAGGTGTCAACACGGAATTCAAGAGACCAATCTATACTACCTGGTAGAGAGTGGATATTCACTAAATACATTGTACACTAATGCCAAATGAAATGACCGATATCACACTTGAAGATGTGCAGCAGCAATCTGCTCTTCACTCCTACCAGGTTAGAAATGTCAACTTAACTAGAACCATTTGAGGGAGTCACTGTATGGATGGGGCATGGGGGGAGGGGGAGCATTGAGCAGCCGGGGGAGGGGGCCCTCGGGCGGGGGTCTTGTGTGAGGAGGAAGTTGGGTAAGGGGACCCCAGGCAGTGGTGACCTCACTTCCCTGACAACAGAGCCCAACAGAATTTGGAACCCCGGTAACCAGGCACCCACATTCCAGAGACAGCCCCCTGCCCAGCTCATTTCTTTGGAGACCCTCCAACAAAAAGCATGTTCGGGTGCTGCTTCCCCAAATCTGGACGCTGCAGGCTGAAGAAAGAGCGCCCTGCAAACACTGTCCCCCGCTGGGGATGTCGAATCAGGGCTCCCCACAGCCTCTGGCCATTTGGCCGGAAGGACAGAAAGGTGACACCAGGAGGCCCAGAGCCTGCCACCCAGCCCCACACGCTCTGATCTGCCTGTGCAGCCCCAGGCCCCCCTCCGTGTGTGTGTGTCTGTGCGTGTCTGTGTGTGAGTGTGTGTGTGCGTGCGTGTGTGTCTCTGTGTGTGTGTGTGTGTGTAAAGAGGGGTCATGCAGGGTGGGGCCACCCTGAGCAGGAGCAGGCTGATGAGGGGTCAGATTCCCAGTGGGCAGGTCATGTTCAAGGTCAAGGCTGGCCGTGTCGGATGGGGTGTGTGGGCGCTGCCCCTTCTACCCAGGGTTTATCCAGATAGCCCTGCAGGGATGGGTCTCTGCATCCAGGGTGCAGGGCTGTGCACTCACAGGACTGTGTCTGATCTGGGAGCAGCAGGGGGACTGGGCAGGAGGACAGTGAGGATGGCCCGGCAGGGCTGTGATGCCTCCAGCCAGCTACCCGTCCCTGTCTTTGCAGAAGGCCACGGATGACCTCCCGAGGCGGCTGGCGGACATGTCCTCCTCCCTGACGGAGGGGTTGACCCCACAGGCATCCCCCAAAACAAGTGCTGGGGATTGCCGGGCAAGACCTCCAACACCCCCCAGACCACTGTCCCAGGTGCTTGGTCACCGGACAGTGGTCCAGGAGCCGGAGCCCACGGAGACCGAGCCCGAGGGTGAGAAGGCTGGGGCTGGGTGTTTGTGGTGTGTGGGGATGGGTCGGTGCTGGCCCCACAGGGACGAGCCCCCAGAGGCTGGTGTGGGGCCTGGAGCAAAGACTGGGCGCAGAGCATCCAGCGGGTGGACTGCAGTCGGGGAGACACCCCAGGGAGGGCTCCTTCCTGGCTGCGGCTTCTCTGGGAGGCCCTGGGCTGGGTTCTGTCTCCGCAAAGGCCCACGGAGAGCGGGCTCGGGGTGAGCTTTTCTCCTCTCACAGCTGCTCCAGCACCTGAGGAGCTAGAGCCGGTTCCAACTCCATCGGGAGCTCTGGAGGGAGGGGTGGTGCCTGCAGCGACTTCAGGAGGAGACCAGGAGCCGGCAGGTGACCCGGCACCCACCCACGGACAGCCTGACGTGGACCAGGAAGAACTGGCACCTGCCCCGGACCCAGCTCCTGCTACTGTTCCTGCCCCTGACCCAGCTCCTGCCCTGGATCCTGCCCCTGACCCAGCTCCTGCCCTGGATCCTGCACCTGCCACTGCTGCAACCCAGCTCCTGATCCTCCTCCTACCCCTTCCCCTGCCCCTGTCAGACTCCGCTGCCCCTTCCCCTGACCCTTCCTGAGCTCCTGTTCTTGTCCCTGACCCTGCTCCTGCTCATAACCCTACCCCTGTCAGACCTGCTGCCCCTGCCCCTGCCCCTGCCTGAGCTCCTGTTCCTGCTCATTCTGCCGCTGCCCCTTCCCCTGCCCCTGCCTGAGCTCCTGTTCCTGCTCCTTTTCCTGCTCCTGCTTCTGCCCCTGCCCCTGCCAGACCTGCTGCCCCTGCCCCTGCCCCTGCCTGAGCTCCTGTTCCTGCTCCTTACCCAGGTCCTGCCCTAGATCCTGCACCTGCCAGGACTGCTGATCCTATCCCTCCCCTTGCCCCTGCCCATGGCCCTGCTCTTACACCTGGCCCTGCCCCTGGCCCTGCTCTTACACCTGGCCCTGCCCCTGGCCCTGCTCTTACACCTGGCCCTGCCCCTGGCCCTGCCCCTATCCCAACCCCTGCCCCTACTCCTGCTCCCGCAGGGCTCCCAGAGCCACATCCAGAGCCCACAGCCCTGCGGGGAGAGCTCCTTGTACAATTACCCTTAGGTCCATCGCCGGACCCCGACACCCCGCCAGATTGTTTCATCCCCTCCCCCTATGTTCTTTCTCTCTGGTTCATATTGTTCTAGTTCATATTGTTCATTTTCATGTTCTGTATACTGTTTATTATTTGTTTTAAATAAAATTACTTGTTTTCAACTGAACATATGATGAGCATAAGTACATTCCCAACGCTGTGCCACCACACCCCAGAAGATTGCTGCGGAATATCTCATGTCTCAAAGGAGTCCCCGAACCAGAAGCCCCCCTGCCCATTTCGCCCCCAGCCCATACCCTGGAAACCCCTAAGCTGCTTTCTCTCCTTATTCTTTTACTTGTTCTGGATGTTTCTGTACATGGAATCATGCAATAGGAGCCTTTGTGTCTGCCCACTTATTTTCAAAGGGGACTCATTTTCTTCTGTTTATTTGTCATAAAATTTCCCTTATTCGATATTGAAATCCCCGATTGATTACAGATCAGATGTAATCATAGAGGCCACTTTAGGAATTATGGGCACAGGGGCGCCTGGGTGGCTCAGTCGTTAAGCATCTGCCTTCGGCTCAGGTCATGATCTCAGGGTCCTGGGATCGAGCCCCGCATTGGGCTCCCTGCTCCATGGGAACCCTGCTTCTCCCTCTCCCACTCCCCCTGCTCGTGATCTCTCTCCCTCTCACTCTCTCTCGCAAATAAATAAAATCTTTTTTTAAAAAAGGAATTATGGGCACAATCTCTGGGCAGAGACCCCTGTACCTGCTGGGACACCACAGCCTGACCCCAGACAGGAAACGGCTGGTTACTCCTGTGGCCCACACAGAAACCAGGGAAACGCAGAAAGCTGGAAGACACACCACAAAGCAAGGCCAGAGAAAGGTTTCACCTGACTCTGGTC